CACATATATATTACAGTATAGATACAGTATAAATACACTAATAAAATACAATAAATAACAATAATGTAACTATCTGTACTAACAGAATGTTGTTTGTTTTAGTGCTCTCTTAAAGCTAACTAGTGATACTCTAAATATATCTACATTGGAAAATAAATTGTTGTAAGTTCTGAACATTCTGTTCAACGGCGAATTTTGTCCAGAGTTAGTGTGATAAAATGACTCTTGAAATAATGTATTAACTCTAAAATTTCTGGGTTGTACATAAATATTTACAAGATTTAATAAGTTAGGAGAGTCGATTAGATTATTCAGAAGTTTAAACAAAAATATTACGTCATTCTGATTTCTCTTATTCTCTAAAGATCCAATTTTAAATGTTTGTTGTAGAAAAGTCGAATTCTGGAAAGTATATACCCCGGTCACTTTAAAATTCAGGTATCTAAGAAATTTTTTTTGAATAGCTTCAAGACGGGAGTTATGAACCACATACTGGGGATTCCAAACGGTTGAAGCAAAATTTATTAAACTATAAGGACATAAGCAAAATATAATGATTTTAAGGAATTTACCCTTCTAAAATCCTTAGATACTTTGATGATATACCCTAACATCTTACTACTTTTCAATGTAATGTAATCTATATATGGGGAGAAAGTTAATTTTCTATCAAAAATAACACCTATACTCGGCGGCCGAAATTATAAAGAGTGACTAATACATAATATAAAAACACTATTACCATAATGCGTATAAAATATAAAATGATTTCTATACGGTTCAATATTATTTATCTTTGTGCCGCTCGCCATGCACATCGGTAGAATCTATAATCGTGTATAAACTGAGTTACACTGAACGTCGATCTATATTTTATCTCTGTCTTTTGCACTTGGTAGGGAATAGGGAGATGCTTTTTTAGTGGGTGTAAACGGACTTGATTTTCCCGACCTGAGAACCGTCATAGCATAAGCGTAGACGAGGGGTCTAATTCCATGGCTATAATAAATTTATAAATTAAAAAAACACAACTGGGACGTTTTAAAATGCTGTAATAATTAAAACCGTAAAAAATATTAGATGTTATGTTTTATTATGTTTTTTCAATATTTTATATATCTTGTTGCCTTTTACGCAGACACGCCAATGGATTTTCGTTCCCGGCACGCTTCATCCCCCTTACTAGTCCAAGAGCTAGCGATGAATCACTATCTATAATTTTGGCTGTCGAGTATAGGTCTTTTATCTCCTGTAAGAAAGCCTTTCGTTATTGAAGTTATAGTCAAATCTAAATAAATTTTTATTGCGAGTAAAACAAATAAAATGACATTTCTTGAAATTTAAATGAAGTTTATTCAGCAAACAGTAGCTATAAAATGTATCAAGATCATTTTGAAATAATGTACATCCAGCAAGGTTATTTATTTTAGAATATATCTTAAGATCATCTGCATACATTAAAAAATTTATTAGATATCCTAGTTAAAAAAAGACGTTTATTAATTAATTATACATACAGTGTGTCCCGTTTTTCAGGTTAACACCTCTGGAAATCTAATCATTTTATTGATGTTACAAAAGCCTGGCCTACTACGATTTTATAAAAGGGTCGTTTTTCCAGAAAGTAGTATTAGCCATTTTTTATTAAAAAGATAACATTACCAGGCATTTTTTATCAAAAAGATAATAATACCAGGCTATTCAACACCCATCAAAATACCCATATGCCAAATTTGACCGACAAATGTCTATTGAGTGTTTTTATGTGATGCCAAACTTCAAAAAATCAGACACCTAAAAATTAT